GGGCGTGACGTGGGCGCCCCTGCCGATTACGAGTATGCGGACGACGGCGAGGCCGGCGCGGTGGCGCACTCCGCCGCCGCCGCTCCCAGCGACGCGGCCCTGCGCCCCTCTGATGCGGCCACCGCCGCCGAGGTTGCTGACGCCGCTGCTGTTGCAGTGGCGGCAGCGGCGCCAACGCTGCCGCGCCGCTGCGGCGGCGCGCTGGCGTGGCTGCCGGCCGGCGCGCAGCGGCTGGGTCTGCGCGTGCTGGTGGACCACAGCCTGATAGAGGTGTTCACGTCAACAGGAGAGGTCCTGTCCACGCGCGCCTACCGCGGCGCCGGCGCCGGCGGCGCCGTTGAGCTGCTGCCGCTCGGCGGCTGCACGCCGGCGCGCGTGAACGCCTGGGAGGTGGAGAGCATGTGGCTGCCCGCTGGCGGCGCGCCCGCGACCGCCACCAACGCGCGCTCCGCGGCCAACGCGGCCGCCGCGGCGCCTGTAGCGGCGCCCTTGACGGTTGCGGCGCTTGGGGCCGTGGCGGGCGGTGTGGAGGGCGTCGGTGGCGCGTTTGACGGCTGCGGGGCGCTGAGGGAGGTGCTGGAGAGGTTTGCCCAGGAGCAGGAGGTGGGGCATCTGCAGCAGGAAGAGGCTGGTGCGGCGACGGCTGGCCGCGGCGCGCCGCTGGACGGCCCTACCATGGGCTTTGGCGGCGCGGCCGTGCCGCCGCTGCTGCCGCCTGGCGCGTGCCGTTCGATGCCGGCCAGCCCCGGCGGTGCGCGCGGTGCGATGCTGCCCTCCTGGGGCGGTGCTGGCGCCGGCGCGTTCCTCACTCCCCCTACCACGCCCCACTTTGGCGCCCGCGGTGGCACCGGCCCCGCTCGCCGCCCGCCCCCGCTCCGCACCCCTCCCATCCCGCCGGTCCGCGTCGGCGGCTGGGGTGCGGGGTCGCCGGGCCTTGTGCTCTGCGCGGGCGCGGCCCGGTTTTGTGCATGCGAGGGCTCTTGCGGCCACGACGCGTGGGCTGAGGAGGAGCTGTACCACCACTACCAGTATGCCGGCATGGCCAGCCCCGGCCTCATGAGCCCGCGCGCAACCAGGGCAGAGGTCGCCTGACGGGCCGACGACGACTCGACGTGGCGCTTCAATTGCACCGGCTTGGGTTACCATTTTTGCGGCGGTGTGGCTGTGGGTTCAAACGATCGCTGAGTCTGGATTTCTCAGCGGCGCTGTGGATTTAAAGATGCACTGAGCACGGAGTTCTTAGCGGCGGTGCGGCGGAGGGCTTTCGGGGTTGAGAGGAGGAGCATCGGCCTGGACGGCCCTGTGTGCGGTCTACACATTTCAATTTGCCTCTGGCGTGCGGCCCGCAGGCGGGGGCGCGGGCTCCTTGTGAGCGGCGTCCTCACCCATAAGAATTCCTGGGCCTTCTCCGCGCGTTGGTGGTCTCTGGGGGCTGGTCGTATTTCCAGGACTGCTTTGCGTTTGTTGCGGTACGTACGGGCGCTCCAGTCAGTACCCTGGGCTGTCGTCACAGCTACGCTAGGCGCTCCATTCAGCGCGCCAGGGATTTGCGCGTGTCGCGGGGTGGTGCTTTGGTCACCACAGCAGCTGCTTTTTCAAACCAGGCTTTGGAGTGTGCGTGTGCCTATGCACTGACGGCCACACCACCTCGTTTGCGCGGCATATTACAGTACTACTTTTGGGGTAAGGGAGGGATGGCTGAGCTTTGGGGGCTGGTCAGGAATGGCAGCTTGGAAAGGGAGGCCATCGGGAGTGGCGCAGGCGCCACAGGGCTTGCCACCATTCTCATGTGTTTGGGATGTTTCCTTCGCAGCGCATGAATTTTTTGCGTCACGTGCCTCTTCAAGTGATTCGTACGTACGGCCTCCTCATTCACACCCACAATGGACGTCTGCTACTTGGAGGCATCTTTCCAACCCTACGACTCTCTCTCTGCACTGCGCTGCCATGCCGCTATACTTACCGGCGTGGCAACGCGGCGTTGCCGCATGCGAGCCTGGGTCACAGGAGGAAGGCGAGCTCGAACCTACATTGCCTTAAAGTTTGCAAGGCGCCTGCGGTGGGACTTATATACATCCCGCCGCTTGAGTCTATTTTGCTTCAGGGCTATGCCAGCACACACACTACCCATTACGCACTTCTTTTTGTTTCTGACTTCTTTTCCACCCTGCTTGTCCTTTTGCAGTCTGTTTTGTCGCGACCTCTTTGCATGTTGTCCCTCCAGCGCTGCACCACTCTTGTGCATGTGTGCTTTTGGCTGTTTTGGCTGCTGTGTCCATGCCATTGAACGGTTTTTTCCCAGCCACGCCAGAACACTTGCTTGCTGCACGTTTGCGTCACAATTTGATCAGCTGTTGGCTGATGCTAATGGATCCTGCTTGATGGACCCAGGCGTAGGATTGCTTGCATGCCTTCACTGGGGATCTGGAGCAGATCGCTATTCATTGCGCCCGGGGGCGCTGTTTGGGGTCCCGCGCGCACATGCCTGCCTGCTTGCCTGCTGAGCGCGGGCGTCTAATTGCACTGCATATCCTTGATCTGCATACCTCCCACCGTCTGAGGGTGGGCCAGCATTTAGGACCATTGTAACACTAAAATCGCATAATCAGGGGCGATAGTATTTCACGAAACGCACTGGATGTCCAGGAGCTTCAGCCAATGTCAATGGGTGGTGCTGCACTTGCGCTTAACTGGATTCGTTCCTCTCCGCACACAATCACTCAGGCATGCGCAACCAGTATCAGCACACCGCAAGTCCCGGGGGTCAGGATTTTGTTGAGCAGGACGCGCACAGCGGGCCAGATTATAGCGCCGCTCCAGTGCGTGCAGCTGTAGCCGTCTTTGTGGGCTTGCATTTGCCGCAGCTGACCCTGCAGCTGCGCAGCATAAACGCCGGGTTCCCCTGGCACTCCCCACGCGCTGCCCAGCCGGGGCACATCTCGTGAGTGTCCAGGCAGTCGCCCCAAAGTGCTTTTTGCTCCATCGCTGTGCCGCCATACGCGCCTGGAGCCATGGGGGTCCCAGGAAGGGGGATAGGGTGAAGATTTGAGGAGGGGTTGGCAGGGGCGCCGAGTTGACATGGAGTCCAGGACGCAGGGGTCCATCTTTGCTCGCCTGAACTCCTGGGCAGGGTGGGTGCACCAAAATGCTGGCTCTTGAAGCTGCATGTTTGCATGAGCCAGGAAAGAGCACGAAGCGATCCCTGAGCAAGCCCTTGTGCATGCACCACTCACGTATGTGGATCCACTTTGTTGCACTCCATTTTTCCTGCGGGAAGATGGGGTCAAGAGAATAATTCGTTCATGACGTGACATGCATCGATCCGCTTACGCGCCACCTGCTGCTAAGCTTGAGAGCATGTGCACAACCACCTGTCAATAAACAACTCTCCAGGGGGCCCCTGCACTGCATGTTCTGCAGAATGATCTCCTGGCCCCTTCCCTTGATGGGCTCACCCCCTTGAGCGTGGGGCAGCTGCCGTGCAGACTGAGTTCGTCCTCCTTGCCATCTGGCGTGAGGGAGTAGAACATGAGTGCGTCCCCCTTGTACGCCTTCACGCCAAGACCCTGGCTCGGGTAAGGACCGGGGTGCGTCGCTTGTGCATGTGCGTGTGTGCGTGTGTGTGTGCGTGTGTGTGTGCGCGCGTGTGTGTGTTTGTGCGCGCGTGTGTGTGTGTGTGTCGGTGTGCATGTGTGTGCGTGTGTGTGTCGGTGTGCATGTGTGTGTCAAATCACAAAGCGATGCTTGAAGTCTCCAACTTGTGGCCAGATGGGCTGTGTGAGCGTGCATCAGTGCAGCTGGGAAGTGCCGATGGCGCCCGCAACAAAGGCGTCAAGTGCGGCTGTGCCCAACCTGCCCTTCCCTTTCCCTGCAACTGCCTCCTTGGCGCCCTGATGATGTGCACGCACGCACGCCCCCCGTTTGCTGTGTTTCACCGACCTTTTTGGCGCAGTCTGAGAGTTCGTCCCCTGTGCTCTTGAACTCTGCATTAGGGAAGACGGTCTCGCCGCCCTGCTCGGGGGTGGACAGGTACATGAGCACTGAGGGCAGGGGGAGGGGAGTGGGACAGAGAGCTGGCAGGTTTCAGGAGGTAGGGGTACCCCTCAAACAAGGCAGCAGGCTGGACTGCAGGCAGTGGGACCTCAGGCGTTTGGAGGGTCAGGAACATCACAGGACAAAGAAGACGCAGCTCAGGATGCAACAGAAGGCACAAGCACGGCGGGCAGCCGGCAGCGCGAAGCATGGCCCGTGCGTTTGGACCCCAGCAGCAGGCAGCGCCACACGGTGCCTCGGCTGTGGCGATGGCTGCACAAGCATCTGGTGGTCGAGCCCAGCAGTCCCGCTCCTCCACGTACGCCGCCGCCCACCCCACCTGTGATGTACCTCTGCCCTCCATGGCGCTGGTCCTGGTTGTATTGCTCCCTGAACCAGTCAGTGTGGGGCTCTGGGGTCACAGGGGTGGGCGTGGGGGTTGATTGGCGGAGGAGGGATAAGGGAGGCTGCTGTCATGCCTGGGCACACCACGGTCTGCTGCTGTGAAGGACCCCGCAGCCGCCCCCCGACGACTGCCACGCACACCCTACAGCCCACGCCAACCCCTATCAAACAATCGATGTCACCATTTCACCCCACTCCGCCCTACGCCCCATCCACCACGAAGGCCACCCTTGGGCCCACCCCACGCACCCCCCTTCCCCATGTTCACCGTACTTCTCCCCGTCCTGGTAGTGCAGCAGCTGCAGCCCCTCCTGGTTCTCAACAGGCATCAGAGACGCCGCAGCCACGCGCGCCTCTATGGCGCGTATCACGTCGTCGTGCCCGCGCTGGTAGAACGTGCCAGAGCTGCGCGGGACGCACGTGGGTTTGTGGGTTTGCGTGAGGGAATGTGAGGGGAGGTGCGGGTGAGGCAGCGAGCACACTGCAGGTGTTGGCCAGGTTGCTTTAACACAGGGGGAGGGGGCGTGCTCGCCCTCATTCACAACGAATCCCAGGCCCCTCCCCAAGGGCGTGGATGCAGCACAAGACGGTGTGCTGCCTGTGTGCTCGCAGCCGCCGCCCTGGCACTCCCGGGTGCGGTGCACCTTGTGCGGACGCTGCTATCCATCGGCCGCCCCGTCTCGGCGTCAACCACAGTTGACTTTGTCAGGCTGGCGCGTGACTGGCGGCAACACAGGGGGCGGGCGCGCCGCGCGTTTTGGGGGAGGGCGGGGCGCGTGGCATCTGCCGCGGCTGGTGGGATTGAGGAGCCACGACAAGGGCTGTCCTGCTGCACGCCACCTGCGGCCCCTCCGTGATACTGCAGCGGCGTCTGAGGGATTGTGCTGTATCCCTCCTCTCCCTCCCCCCTCGTAGCCGAACGCCTGCAGCCCCGGCGTCCAGGGGAGTATGTGTCACCAGCCACCCACCATGGTCACCAGGTGGTCACACTCCGCCTCGGTGAGGAAGTCCTTCCAGAGAAACACACGCGGTCGCCATGACAGGCGCACCACCCTGCCGCGCCACTCCATCTGTAGGGGGTTGCAGGATGGCTGACGAATATCGGCGCTGTGGTCTCATCGATTTGAGCCACTGTGGCCGCGCCGGACGCTGGGCATGTGGGCGGCAGGGGCTCACAGCAGGCAGTTCGCAAGTGCTGCTTGCCTGCATGCGGCATCAATGTGTCTGGTTGAGCTGCCGAGCGGGCTCACTTCTGTGTCACCGTACGTCAGTATAATGTCCTCTGGCGGAGCAGCACTTGTTGCCATCGCGGCCGTGGCAAAGGGCGCCGCCGCGAACGACAGCGCCAGCAGCAGCGACGGCGTCAGGATGCCGCATTGCTGCATGGCACGGGTATCCATTATTCAATTGTCGAAGCTGAGTTGGCAGTTGGTCGGTTAGCTTTCAATGCTGTACGATCTGTACAACTGCGTGGGGCCGCGACACATGCATACACTCGTATTGGCCTACACGTTTGTGATAACTCTCAATCATGAGCACAGAGGTGCGTCAGTTTCCGATAAACGTCAGCACCGTCGGTTCTACGGTATGCGGGAATGCCATGAGCACTCTACACCTGGGCGTGAGAGCTTCAACTGTCGACAGTCGTCATCAGCTGGTGCAGGTGTCCATCACGGCCAAGCCCATCTGAGTTTGTGCACCCAGAATCTTGTGATAAAAAGGGCTTCAATGTTGCCTTGATGGTCCTCGTCGCACACAATAGTGCCTTGTGCAGAGTCCACTGGCATAATTGCCCCACTTGGCGATGGGCAAGCTTGCTCGCCAGCACACGAGCCTCACCCGTCCCCCCGGTCCACCTGCCCTGCCTCGCAGCACGTGGACCAAGCGTGAAGCACGTTGCATCATTTACCCCCGCGCACAAGATAGGTTACAAGCACTCAGCAGCATTCTTTGGCTGGACCATGGACTCTATGGCCAGGCGGTTTGAAGGTATGTGGCGCCACGCGCAGCACGGGAAACAAGGCCATGGAAGATAGTGCGTATCAAACCTTGCCGACCAACAGGCAAGGCACAAGGTGCTGTGTCCTCTGCCCACTGGGCGCAGAGGCAGCGTGCAATGGCGGGCCGCTGCGGAGGTACAGGGCCGCTGCGCCGCCTGCAAGCCCGCACGCAGCACGTGCGCTGAGCGCCATGCAGCGCTGTGCATGGCAAACGCGAGCTTGGCGTCCCATACACCCACACATAATCATGGGCAGACCGATCACCGCACCAGGACACAAAAAGTGGCGACACGACACAACGGCAGCACCAAAAATCGGTGACAGGTGGGAGTTTGGCTCCGCCAAAGCCGCTGCATACATTTATGGCTGGAGCCTGCGTGCGTGGCGCCCCCACCACAATTCTGGTGCGCAAAAGCACGCCGCGGCGCTGCTTGGGAACCACGATCCAGCACCGAGGGAGGTGAGCAACAAGCAGCGGCTGGCAGTTCTTGCTTCCGATTTGTCGGCGCTCTGGCAAAATCTCACACCGTGAGGAGCAGGCGGGAAAGAGACGCCCCCCCTGAACCCCCGCATTCCACAGCAGCATCACACCTTGAACGCAAGCCAATCGCACGGCCCAGGCAGGGTCGCCTGAAAGCGAGCAAGCCGTTTCGCGGGGCGGGCATGTATCAACGCGCCTGAGAGCCCAGGAGCGCCGCGCTGGTCCCCCGCCTGCCCAACGTCCAGCCAGCTTCGAAGATGAGGTGCCCGGCGCACAGCCGCTGCCCCACCCTGCGGTTGCCGTGCTGGGCCCCCACATGCCCGTCACCACCGGCAACAGCAGGAGGCCCGGGAACTCACATTCGGAAGGAAGGACAAGCCAGATCTGATACCAACCGCACCAGATCCTGACAACCGAGTCGGCCTGACTGCGCCAAGCCGACTGAGATCGGATCAGATCGCGGAGTGGTAGCCGCCTCGCCGGTTGGGGCCGTGCTCACTGGCGTCCATGAGCTCGCTGGCCTGCTGCAGCATGGACTCGGCGTCGTCGGGAGTGGTGCCACAGATGTCCCTCAGGACGGCCGCGTTGCCGATAGCCGACCCGCCCCCGGCCTGCGGTCGCGCGTACGACTGCGGCGCCGAGCTGTCTCGCTCCAGGGTGGCGCTCGCGCTGCGCACGACGCGCGTCGCGGCGGCGCCGTTGGGCGTGATCTTGCGCTGCGGCCCCGCCTCGCCCCGCAACAGCGCCCCGCCACCAGGCCTGCCGGCGGCACCGAGGTTGCCGCCAGGCAGGCTGGAGACGGTGTGCGCAGCTTGGTTTGCGGCGGTAGTGCCTGCGGCAGAGCTGGTGTAGCTCGTGGCCCGGAACCCAGAATCGCCGGCGCACACAGCGCTGGCATCTTCGCGGGGCAGCGTGAAGACGCGGCCCAGCGCCGCTGGCCCCTCCCGCACGCCGCCCTCCGCATCGCGCGCCCCTGCAGGCGCATCGTCGCCGTGTGGGCGGCCGTCGCTGTTGTCGCCGCCGCTGGGGTTGAAGAGGCCGCCGCCATGGGCGTGCTCGGGGACGTGGCGGGATGACCCGTTGAGGCTGCCGTGGCCGCTGCCGCCCACAGAGCCGTGCCAGCTGTTCTCCGTGTTGAACACGTGCGCCTGTGTGTGGATATGCGTGTGTGTTGTGTGTGTGTTGTGTGTGTGTGTGTGTGTGTGTGTGCACGCGCGCGCGCATGCGTGCGCGCATGTGTTTTCGGGATGAGTGCTGGTGTTGACGGGTGTAGGAGGCAATGGTGTGAGCACACGAGCAGCTAAGCTCGCCCGTGTATGTGCTAGCAGAGGCGTCCAGGTCTGCGTGAAGGTGTAGCGGCCCCTGGCGGACTGCATTGCCTGCCATGCAGCTGCCGTGCATCAGCGAAGGCGCAGATTGCGTGAGGGGCCGCTGTGGCTGCTGAGTCTCTCACCTTGTTGCCGTGCACGGTGTAGTCTGTGGTTTTGCGCGCTGCCCCCTTCAGCGCAGCGCTCTGGTCCAGCGACGCGCGCGCCAGGTTGTGCGTGTGCATGGGGTAGGCCTCCAGGCAGTCCACGTCGGCCAGCAGCTGCACCGGCCCACCGCTGTCGCAGCAGCAGTCCGTCTGTGTGTGAGGCTTGAAACATGCAAAGAGGCCGCCGCTGCTGGCGGGCTTGGGGACGGGCTGCAGGATCAGACGTGTGTCATGGGGAGGCAGGGGGCGTGGCACGAGATGGGCGCAAGAGTCCATGTGTCGCGCTGGCAGAGTTGCTCAGACACTCAAGACACCATGCACGTTTATAGATTGCACCCACAACCGTGCATGGACACACGCGCATACGTATCAACGCAGGCACACACGCACGCACACATACACGCAAACACACACCCACACCCACACACGCGCGCGGGCACCACCAGGCCATCCAGCAGCATTGTCAGTGCCCCCACCTTGTCGGCCCCTGAGCAACGCAGGGCGGACACCGGGAACTGCAGCCCCTGGCTGGGCGACACGTCCAGCACGATGACGCTCATGTCGTCAGCCATGCGCTTGTCCCGCACAACAGCCAGCCCCAGGTAGGCCGCGGCCT